ACATGATCGGGACACCATCAAAACATGACCGGGACACCGTCACAACACGACCGGGACACCATCAAAACATGCCCGGGACACCATCACAACATGACCGGGACACCATCACAACATGACCGGGACACCATCAAAACAGGACCGGGACACCATCACAACATGACTGGGTCACAATCAAAACATGATCGGGACACCATCAAAACATGACCGGGACACCATCACAACATGACCGGGACACCATCACAACATGACTGGGTCACAATCAAAACATGACCGGGACACCAGCATCACATGACCCGGACGCCATCAAAACATGACCGGGACACCATCCGCCCACCAGCTCTGACGGTGACCCGACGGCGCCCGTCCGCCTATTAGTTTTGCAAGACCCCATAGCATGGCTATTGGGGAAAAAGAAAGCTTCAAAATGCTGCGAACACCTTTCTTTTACCTGGGTGCTTGTCCAGCTTCATGACCGCCTTTAAAATCCCGACGGCAGTGCAAAAGCCCCAGCAAAGCAAGATCCAGACAGGAGCCCCTTGGCCAACGCCCAGATGTCCAGAGATCTCCAGGTCTGCATCAATGAAACCTCGACAGTTGAAACGTCGCCGACTTTCCAGGAAGTGTTGTATAAAGACTGCGGTCTTGATGTTTTCATGGTTGGAGGCCATCGCTTCGATAGATTAAAGGCCAACGGAAGACCGAAGAACCGACGGACAAGCGACTTTAAGCGACTGAGGCGATCGAGGCGGCCTCGGTACTCGTCTCCCAAAGACTTCACCCGCACGACTTCACCTGCCTGCCGGACCAAATGCTTTCAGCCAAAGCTTGGGGATGTCTTCAACCCCAGCACCTCGGATGCAACGAGCGAAGCAAGAACGATGAAGAGAGACCTTCTGGACCTTCTGCCTGTAATTTGGACCTTGTTCATTGCCTCATATAGCTTTGTATATGAAGAGAGGCAATCCTGGCCTTTAGAGGAGACCTTAGACCTTTTTCCATCCGGCGAAGTCGAGGTCTAGGTCAAGACACAGTACGGAATCGAAAGCAAACCCAAAACGACGCCCATGATGATCATCACGAAGAAATCCAACCCCACATGCCGGTCGATGTAGGGTCGGTCCAAAAGCTCCTCCATGGAGCCGAGGTCATCGAGAAGAGAAACATATTGTGCTGCTGGGTCTAAGATGGTCTTATCTTCCGACATTTGTCTTGGTTTTGTGTCGCGAGCACTATGACACATTTATAGTTGACTCCTCAAGGATGCTTGATATAAATCTTGAAAACACAATCGAGCATGAAAAAGAGAGAGAGAGAGAGAGAGAAAGAGAGAGTTTAAGAAAAAAAGGGAACACATTGCTTGGTGAAAGTGTTAGTGCTCTTCTTGTTGTCCTGTTTTTTTACCGAACAACGTGGATCTTCCGTGGATCTTCGCCTTCATGGCACCGCCACTTTCCGCGGAGTGCGCAGACTCCGAAGCGATCGGCACCTCCATGTCTCGGACGTCCGCCATGGCACAGGTCGGTCAGATGCCCTTTGCTCCTAGTAGCTTATTGTTTCTAATAGCTTCTTGTTACTACTAGTAAGGCACTTGCTACTAGAAGCGATGCACTTGTTCCTAGTAGCGTTCTTGCTCCTAGTAGCGATGCCCTTGTTACTACTAGCGATGGCCTACTAGCTGTGATGAGATAATTGTTTGTGTTTCCAAGCGATGACTTCGCATGAACCAACAGTGCAATGACTTGGATCAGAAGTGAATGTCTTAAAATGGACTCTCTGCAGAGTTCTTTAGAAATATGTTCTACTGAACCTCGTGGAATGAGGCGTTGCCGAGCGAGCCTGGGTGAAAACAGGAAAGTCATCAGGTGTGTTGAAGCACATATCACCCTGTCACATCGGCACTTCAGTCCTCCAGGCAACTGGTGATATCGTTCCAGCTGATGGTATCCTTCAAAGGGATCCTATACCAAAACAACAACCTACTAGCAATGGCCTCCAACCTAAGAGGAATCCAAAGGATTCTGCAGAGCCTATACAATCTTATACTACCACGCCACCACGCACGACAGAAGTCACAAAGAAACGAACGTGTCTGACTTGTACAAGACACACAGGTCAAAGTATATGTGCTTCTTGTTGCTAGCAGCTACTTGTTCCTAGTAGTAAGGCCAGGAGCCCCTAGTAGCGTTCTTGCTCCTAGTAGCGATGCCCTTTGCTCCTAGTAGCTTTATTGTATAAAAAGGAAGCGTTGCAATTTGCAGTTTGAGGTCGGTAGGTAGGTCTTGGGAAAATCTCAATCGAAGTTCATGTAATGGTCGAAGGTGTCTTTCCTCGAGGTGGGCTTTTAGCTAATCAGCTTCTGTGGTGAGAGACCAAAGGTCTACAAAATATGCAAAACCTACAGGTGCCTTACTAGTAGTAACAACAAGCTATTAGAAACAAGTGCCACGCTAGTAGTAACAGGTGCTTTACTAGTAGTAACAAGAAGCTACTAGGAACAAGTGCCACGCTAGTTTTGCTGTGGGCCTTAGGTCTTCGACTGCCAGTGTCACCCGCCTCAGACAGGAAGAACGCCACAGTTTTGGCACCAAGAATTCCGTAGGGGTAGTCGCGATCCGCCAAGGCCTTGATCTACGCCGCAACGATGCAGAAATAATCCAAACCTGTTTGTAAATAGCCATGGCCTCCGACCTAATAGCAATGGCCTCCAAACCTTTTCTTTAGCAAGGTGTGTAAGGTGTTGCAGGTCTTGGCTCAAAATTCATGTGAACATGTGTTTCTTCCACGAGAAGCAAAAATGAAACCGGCAAAAGACCCGTTCGAGCCCGAGCTACGGCCAGATTCGACCGACGCGCCTTCACAAAGTCATCTCTGCACAGTGGTCCGCGGGCAAATCCTGGGCAAAAGCAAAGTGATGACACGGTATACGGTTCGTGTGCCTTTTTCACCGATTTTGATGTTTGCCAAAACACGTGTGATGTTTGCAAAAAAACAAAACACGTGTTGTGGCACGTCATGTTCAATGAGAAAGGTGAGAGATTGTCGGTACTTTGAGGTCTAGGCCCAACTCTTCTCGTGCGGCCTGTCCGAATGTCAAAAGTGAGAAACTTGTCAATGCTTCCGGGCTCCCCCTAAGGAATGGAACGCAAGTTAAGCCTCATCTACTAAGTGTATGTCCTCGGTTCTTTTTTTTAAATTGCCCCTGTTGCTTTAATGTTTATTCTTGAGATCTTTCTTTTGTTTTGTCAACGCTTCGAGGCTCGCCCTGGGGCTTGACAGGAAAACAAATCCTTTCAATCAGGACGGATCCCTTCGGAGAAGCATCACTTTCTAGAGAAAATAGAGAAGAAAGGAGCATCACCGGTCTACCACTTAAAAGGTTTCTCATCGCTAGTAGGTTGGAGGCCATCACTAGTAGGTTGATTTTTCCCAACCAAGTCAATCATACGAAGGGTCCGTCGCCCTTCTGCGTGCTACGACTGTTCTAGCTTTTTCCGTACTTTCCTGGTCATGAAGCGAAAGGGTACTTGGAAAAATAGTGTGAAAAAAAAAAACAAAACAACAACAACAAAAGGAAAGGAACAAACCGCCAGTTAAGTAAAAACTGTGTACCAAATCTCTCTTTCTCTTTCAGCTCTTTCAGCACTCAGTTCCGAGCATCAAGACCAATTCTGCCGAGCCAAGTCTTTAACTCGCCCAGCCTTGAGAGAAGCACGGGCGGACCAAAGGGACCAAAGAGGAACTTCACCTACTAGCGATGGCATGACCGCTCCGTTCGTAGCGTCCGATTAGCGATGCCAGGAGCCCCTAGTAGCTTCTTGCTCCTAGTAGTAAGGCCAGGAGCCCCTAGTAGCGTCCCTATATTTGTTTTTGTCCTTTCTCTTTCTTTCTTGATATTTATTGACTTTATCTTCTTGATTCATGTTCTCTTCAACCATTCTATGTCCTTCCTTATATCTCAAATATGTGTCTAATATATAATTACGGCTTGTGGAAGATGTCGGGCAAACTCAAAGTGTCAGTCGGACGGGACGGTTTCGAAGGCTTCGACGTTTTTGTCGCTCTGAGACACTCTCACCCTTCTATGTTCAACGTTTGGTACTTGAGCTCTGGGCGCCAACAAACGCTGCGGCATGTTCATCCGTCGCCTGCCAAAATGGAATTAGGAAGATGATGAAACAACCTAATAGCGATGGCCTTCAACCTATTACGTAGCAATAGCCTCCACGATGAAGAAAGCAAATTTGTTCCAAGGCACTTGTGGCGTTCTGCGAGTGACCAGCTGGCGTCCAGGAGCGGTGTGGGAGCCATGGCATCCACCTCCAAGAAATGTCAAACGAAATGTCAAAAGAGCTGTCAGATTCTTGTTACCAGTAGCGAACATTGCTCCTAGTAGTACGGCCAGGAGCCCCTAGTAGCGTTCTTGCTCCTAGTAGCGATGCCCTTTGCCCCTAGTAGCTTCTAGCTTGAACCTACTAGAATCGAACAGTTGATTTTAATAAAAAATGAACAATGATTCCAATGCATCCGTCGTTTCCTCAAAAGGCTCACAAAGGCTGACAGTTCACATCGGATCTCTTTGAATCACTGGAGGTGATTCACTACAGTTCTTCACGGTTCTTGACTTTAAAGAATTTGATCACTGACTCATGAGGCATCTTGAAAGACCTGATATGTTTTCACGGGTTGGAGGTTGTCCTTCCCCTGCCATTCGAGGTCAGTAATGCAGTCCTCCTTCGTCAATTTCAAGCTCAAACCTCTTGAGACTCTGTAGCGGGAGCGCAGCGGTAGCGAAAACAAAGGGCTCGAAGAAACCACGTCGATCGAAAGGCAGCCGGTGCCTATGGCTCTCTTTTCTAAGACCGCTGAGGTCTGGCTTCAAAAAGGGGCCCCTGAGCATGAACAGCCACGGTGGAAAAGTGGCATCTTTACATGGAAGCTCGATGCACGTGTTGCACCGGTAAACAAAAGGACTCAGACTTTGTCTGATGAGCATCGAGCTTGGCCAGCGCAGTCTTGCCGGTCTTCTTGTTCTTCTTTGCCGCTGTGAACGTCGGGTCGAAGTTGATCGCCCACTTCCAGCTTTGGAGGAACCGCTGGAGACCCAACCTGCTGTCCAGCCGCTTTTTAGTGAGCGCGTCCCCGAGGTCGTAATCGGACGCTACCCACCTCAATTCACAGCCCGTGCGCTTCAGGTGGTCGCGCAATTGAAAGGCTTGTAGGGCGCTTCGAAGGTTGGCCAACCCCAGTAGCGGCGACTCATTGACTTCGACTGCGTCGAACCCTCCTCGGCTGTCTGTGCACAGCACGCCGTGCACACGGCGGACGATCTCCTCCATGGCGTCCACCATGTCGAAGCCACGTAGGCTTTGGATCTTCAGTCCGGAGCCATGGATTTCAGCCCATAGCAATCTGCAGCGGAACAAGACATCTTCCGTCTCCAAAATCGCCTGGACCTCCGCGTCATTGCTTCCCACTGCCCGGCGTTTTAGACGCCAGGTGCGCCAAGCCAAGAGGCTCATCCTGCAGACATGTCCGGCTTTGCAAGCCGGTGATGAGGCCAGGATTACGAAGCCTCCAGTGCTCTCGCCCTTGCTCCTGTTGTTGTGAGCTTGATCGCCCATGCCGATGAACACTACCTCGGACCAGTGGGAGATGTCATCAAACTTCACGAACTCGAGGGATGTGGCCTGAGCACGGCATTCGGCAATCATTGCCTGGATCTCCCTTGCATGCTCCAAGGTTCCGGCAGTGGTGACCTCTGAGAGGAGCAGGTTGCACCGCGCAGTCAAAAGTGGTTGTGACTGCACAGCGAGCCACTGTAGGGCTCCAAGTGCCGTTCGGCACGCTGCGACCTCTGAGGGTCGAAGAGCATCTTGCTCCCGGAGACGGTTGCCATCGATGTCAATGTCCATGAGCCCTTCCACATAGCTGTTCTGGTCGACCACAATCTTGAAGTTCCCAGAGCGGTCAACCACGGTGTGAACATCAGAGCCAGCGTGCCTGTAGGAACCCTGCTTCATGGTTCCCCACTGGTATGCAGAGTCGATGAGGTGGCACACTTCATTCCACTCAGCTGATGTTTCATCACCAATCCTGTGGAAGTCGTCCACGTGTCCGCCCATCAGGCCAATGAGGCGAGGGTGATCACCATGTGGATCTTTTTCGTGCTTGCTGTACCAAGCCCATAGACATCGTTCACCTCGAACCACATGGCCGCCCAGAGATGTGAGTTTCTCATTGAGCGACAGCCAGAGCCCGCGGGGAGCTGTGGTGCTGCCATATATGTTTCGAAGAATCCGCAGGCAGGAATCTTCAGGAGCTCCAAGCGCAGCACGAAGTTCCGGCACCCCATAGGTGTAGAGCTGGTTGTCAGCAGCTGTAGGCTCGGTTTGCAGGAAGGCAGAGGCCAAATCAAGTCCTTGCAGCTTCCATTGATGTGTCACGGAGGCCATGTAGATCATATGGCGTCCCAATGTAGAAATGACCGGGGCAGACGTTTTGAAGTTGCGCTCAAGCAAGCTTGGATGCTGGAAGCCAAGCAAGACGATCCTTGCTTTTGCCTTTCTGGTGGCATCGTGATTTACCACCGTGTTGGGGTTGTTGAGCTGATCTTGTACTGCTTCTTGACGCTCATCAGGCGTGACAGGTTTCCAAGTCAGCACCCATCTTGCCTTCAGAATGCGTCCGCTGCCAAAGGCTTCACGAGCTTCGTCATCATCCAGGCAGCGTCGAACTGCGCTGTTGCGCAAGAAGGAAGTGACCTCCTTGGACTTGGCCCGGTTGAAGAGAACCAAGTCCTGAGCACTAACATTTTTGAGGTTCACCTCGGAGGAGTTGAGCTTCTTGGTCCGGTTCTTGAGCTCAATGTCCACTTCGATGGAGAGGCATTCACCATCATAGGACTCCAGGAAGGCGAAGAGGTCGTGGTGTGTGATCTCATCTTGCGCCTCTTCACGAAGCAGATCCAACCATTTGAGGTCATACTCAGTCTCATGGTCGCCACGATGGCGTTTGACTTCTGGCTCCTTGGCGTCGGCCAATTTGAGCTTCTTTGGATCTGGCGCTTCATTTTCTCCGTAGTCATTGACCCTTGTAGAAGACGAAGGCAGGGATGTAGTGCTCTCTGGTTCAGGATCATCGCCAGGTTCTGGATCTGGCAGAGATGGTGTGTACTCTTCATCAGGAACCTTGAAGTCCTCTGAAGTCGGCGTTGTCCGCGGTGGAGGCAGATACTTCTTTGGAGCAGGAGGTGCTCGGGCTTGACCGATTGGACTAGATCGATGCACGACCTTGTAGTCGGAGTCCTTCAGGGTGGATTTTCCCACAGCTCGGCGAATCGGAGCCAGCGTGGTCTCATCTGGAGCCGCTGGTAGGTCAGGTAGTTCCTGATCGAGTTCGCCGGGTTCTTCATCAAGAAGGTCGGTGTACTCCTTCTTGGGGATCATATCATCCAAGGACTTCCATTGAGTGGGGTCTTCCCCTGATGAAATTTCGCGCCGAAGTCGTTCAGTTTCATTTGCAGGCCGGACGGAGTGGACTGAACAGCGAAGAAGCTTCCGTCCAAAAAGAACCCAAACAATGTGTTGCCTCTTGTCATCAATGTCTTGGTGTGGGATTGCTTCAGCAAACACAACTCTTCCAGGTCCCACCCATTGGGGTCTTCCAGACTTCTTGTGTCCTCCACGAGAACCTTGATGTTGTTCTCCAGCTTGAAGTTTGCGCCAAACCATGACCAGTTCTGTCGGCGCATACTGTCGGACAGGCTGTCGGACAGTGGTGTTGGCCAGCTTGCTTAGCACCCTTCTCGCACGCGATCGACGCGCAATCTCCTCAGCTTCAGAGCAAGCCTTGGTGATCCGAAGAAAATCTTCCTTGGGCTCGATGGCATTCCATATGCGGATGTCCTCGTCGCTGATGGAGTACTTGGTGCCAAATGCCCATTGATGGGAAGAGTAGCCGGCGGTGTACTCAGTGCCATTCAAGGCTGAAGCTGCCAGTGTGAGAGTCATCTCAGGGCTGTTGCTCAGGTTCTCCTGGTGGATAGCTGTAGCCACGTGCTTGATGTCAGCAATGGCGGCCTCCACAATGCCATGACTCCACGGCTCTTTCTCAGGAGGGTAGTGGACCTGAATGTTCTCGGACTGGAGGAAGTCGTGGAACTTTGAAGAGATGAAGCTCTTAGCATTGTCGGCAACCACCAGTTTTGGTCGTGGATAGTGACCAAGCCAGCCTTGCACAAGTGCCTGAATGATCTCATCGGTTGCCTCGGGTTGCATAGCCAACTCCGGGTAGAGCTTGAGAAGCACCACAACACGAAGCTTGGTGGCCAGGTCGATGATCAGCAGGAATCTGGCCTTCTTTCGTAGACCAGGAACCAGCCATTCGGAGGTGTCCAAACCAATGCACTCCCATGCACGTGGTAGTGCGTGAGTTGCTGCAGGAGGAACTTGGCCCGATGATGTGCCACCTGGCTTGAGGGCCTTGCAGGTCTCACATGTGTGTTCCAAAGCCGCTTGTATCTTCCACAATGGTCCTCCAGCCTCTCGCACAAGACGAGCGAGGTTGCGGGCAGTTGGATGACCCGCAGCTTTGTGGAAATGGGCCAGTCGAGCCTTCCACTTTTTCAGCTCATCCGAGGTTGGAGTCAGGGAAGTAGAGATGGGTGTGGCACCACCTTCGGGTAGAAGTTCTTGTCCCGCTGGTTGTCCTTGGAGAGCAGGTAGTGCTTGAAGTGCAGTGCGCTCCATGTTGATCTCGTCCTCAATCGGGACCATGTAGGGCTTGTCCTCCTTGGCAAAGATGAGCTGCATGTTGCGGTCAGAGACATACTCTTGACGCCATGCCAGGGCCATCGATTTGACCATGCGCCAGGGATAGTAGGAGCTCTTGGATGTCTCGGCTCCCTGAATCCAGGCATGTCGGTGACTGCCAGGACATACCTTAGCCTTGAAGCGCTGGTGGAAGAAGGAGCTGGTTGTCCGAATCATCCATCGCTTCCGAAGAAAGTCGCCAGCACCATCATCAGCACGGAGACCATAGTTGCACCCATCAACACGGCATGGAAGCCATTCACGGCCGTGAGCTTGGAGGAGGTGAGCAATGTATTCCAAGGGTCGTTGATTCCATCCTTCACAAGGCCAAGGCCACTCCCAGTAGATGTCGGTCTCGGGATCCTCGTTGAGGGTGTCTTCAATGAAGTGAGCTGCTTGCCATAGCATGCGTCGCTCCCGACGGCGATAGGTGGCTAACAGTTCTTGGCGCTCCTCAGTGGAGTAGTTGAGCTTGGACCATTGGCACCACTTGGTGCAAGGAAGACTGAACCACAGTCGCCGGGGACGATGACGGCGTCGAAGACCCTTCAAATGCTCCCAGGTTGCCGTCTTATAGATGTCATAGCCCTGTTGGAGGTTGATCCGGCGAGGTCGAAGACCTTGTTGGTCGCAAGCTTCACTGAGCCACGAGTGAGGTGCACAGGCGATCTCCCAAATGCCATCCTGTTCATCGAGGACAAAGTCCATAGTTGTTGATGCCATAGAGCTCAACAGCGTTGTAGCCATCAGCAGCAGCTTCGCGGCCATAGAGCTCTTCAAGGGCATAGTGGAAGAAGTCGATGAAGTCATGCATCCTCCTCGTAGGCCTGAGCCAATCCGGTCATGGCAGCCAGGTCTTGCTCTTCCATCACGGCCTTGCGTTCCTCGAGGAGCTGCATGAGCTGTTCCATCTCCTTGGGGTTCAGCAGCTGCTTGACATCCTTCTCGAAGTGGTCGGTCGGTGGAGGCGTGCAAATCTCCCATGAGGAAGGACTGGATGTCTGACCCTTTGTCTTGTTCCTCGAGGTCGGAGTCGCCGGCGAGGTGGAAGGATACCCGGAGCTTTTCACCGCAGCCTTGCCCGTCTGCTCCGGCATGTTGCGCTCCCCTTGGATCTTGGAGATCTGGCGGTGCACGAGGTCCTCCAGGACGATGTCCGCATCTACCTTCTTCTGCATGGCATGGACGATCTCGGCCGATGGACGTTCCGAGTTCATCAAAACTTTCAACTCGTCCAGCATCCGTTGAACCAAGGGTGGAGCATCGGTCTTGGTGTTCTGGCCATGGGAGCCCCTGCGAGGGACATACATCCAGCGGATGTTGCAAACTTGGCAATGTTGCCATTGACCGTGAGGATTCGCTCGCACTGAGCCCAGATGATGTTCCCCGTAGCACGGCCACTGCTCCGGATTCATCCGAGGATCTCTTGGATCCGGGCCGACTCCTCGAGGAGGATCGAAGGGCCGAGGTGGCTCCTTCTCGCGGCTGCCGGTGATCTTCTCCCTGAAGTCCGCGGCTGCCGTCTTGATGTCCCAGATCTTGTTCCCCTGCTCTTCGGTCAGCTGGCTGCCCTTGCTCCGGGACATGGCAAGAGTGGTCCGGGGAAATCGAATTGGGCGTCGGGCTTCCAGCCACGTGCATTTGAGCAGCTGAGAGCTGAAGACGGCGGTCACAAACATAATCATGTAGTGTCATCAAATGTTGACGTGACCGTCGGAGTCGTGCTTCATCATGTTCATGAACAACGCGTGCATGTTCTTGGGAAAGAAGTTCCAAGGGCATGAACTGAAGTGTGTGGTGGTCGTTGATCGTGTTGGAGGTGTCTTTCTCAATCACATGGATGTGGGGATGTCCGTCATGACATGTAAAACCACGGGTGAGGAAAAAGGCGATGTCCAACATGTAGTGGCCCTTTTTGTTCTTTTCCAACTGGTAAATCTCAGGATGGGCCTCATGTGAATCCAAGGCAAAACCTGTTGCAAAATCAACCATCATGGATGAGTGTGGACCTGCCAAATGGTTCATGCCGATCAGGATGGGGACCAGTTGCGACCGATCGAACGAAGGATCATGAAGACCTGGTGGATTTGGTAGTGCATAAAGTTCGAAACAATGAGGCTTTCCAGAAACAGCCGAGGTCAACGAGACCCGATAAAGCGCTTGTCCCCATTTGCCGTTCCCGAACCTGAAGTAGGGCCGATCTTCTTTGTGAATCGAAACCACGGCCTGTCGGTCACGGTCGACGATCGTTGAGATCAGTTGCTCAACTGCAATTTGAGGGCCAGCAGAAGCTGTAGCCCCGCAATCCAGGAGACCATGTGTCTCAGGTGGAGAAACTGTGCGCTCAGTCTCATTGATCTGAGCCTGCAAATCTAAGGCACCAAAGAGCATCTCCGTGTTGTAGGCATTGACGGAAGGTCGTCCCACTGGGGCATTGGACTTCCCCTTCCCTTTCTTGCCTTTTGTCCAGGCTTGCGCGTCAAGCCAGTGGACATTCTTTCCTTTCTTGCCACCACCCTTCTTGCCCGTGAAGAAGTCGTCGTACGTGTACGGATCATACTCAGTCATGTAGTTCCATTTGCTCTTGCCTTTTCCCTTGTAGGGACCAGGGTGTCGACGGTCGGGGCATTCTCGAGAAAGGTGAGGACCTCCACACTGGAAGCAGGGACCACGTCCTTTGCCCATGCCACCTGAGGGAGGTTGCTGTCCGAAGCCACGATCCTTGCGAAGCGCGGCAGTCGCTCTTTGAGCTTCAGCCCAAGAGCGTTGAGCTTCCACAGCCAAGGATTCGGCCATGCGCTCAGCTTTCTGAGCTTCTTTCAAGTCCTCATCGTTCTCCTCCTGGGTGGTGTTCTTGTCCTCGTAGGCCTCCACGTTGTAGGCGTCAGCCCAATCCCATGAAGACCAATCTTCTTGTCCCCAGTCACCGGAGACATGAAATGAGTCCCAAGTGGCAGAGTGCCACTCAGCTTCAGGTTCTTCCTCCTCAACAGTGGCCAATTCGTGCCAGTTGGAGTTGAAGAGAGTTGGATGTGATGAGCGGCTGCCAGTGAACTGCTCGCCCCATAGGGTCTGGAGTGCCCTGTTCACCTCATCGAAGTCGAGGGATCCATGGGTCGCCGACAAAATGTCTCGGCGTTCATCAGCACTCAAACCTGCGGCTTGAAGAAGGCGGAACCCTCGCAAGACTCCGAGAACGAAGGAGTCTGCAAAGCTAAGCTCATTGAGCTCCTCACCAGCCAGTGAGGGCTGCACCCCAGCCGATCGTCGGCGAGGTGAAGACATCGTGCCTTGAGGTACACGTTGATATCCACCACCATGAGGCGAGCCACTCTCCGCTCGGGACGTAGGCGCCGGCAATGTCGTAGTGGGTTGAGCCACGTTGGGATCGAAGTCACCATTCTCGGGGTCAGGAGCGTTCACATCGTCCTGCGGCCACTCAGCCCAATCATCCCACCATGCATCCCAGCCGGAGTCATAGTCCTGCTCATAGTCAGCCTCCTCAGCAGGAAGGCCAAAGTCCTTGTCCTCTTGTTGAGTGCCACGCTTCTCCTCAGCCAGGCGCACCAAAGCCTCAACAAACTCAGAGAAGCCAAGTGCTTCCCTGACCAGGAACTGGGTCATAGGCTCGTGAGCCTTACGAGCAAAGCTGAAGTACTGATTGCAAATCGCCGAGGCGTTGGGGATGCTCTGGCGCACCAATGGAGAAGCAGCCAGGCGCTGCAGCAGAACCTTAGTGCCCCCATAGTCGTCCAGCGACATGTCACTCCAGCTCATAGCCAGCAGCCTCGCCGGGCCGGTGAGGCGTGAGAGAAGCTTGGTGGCAACATAGCGGCGCTTTGCCACCGGTGTAGCTCGGAAAAACCAGGAAACTTCCCGTGTGTATTTACGCCACGTTCGTGGCGACCCATCCCACGATGGGATAGAGAAGTTGCCATCTTCTTTGGACATGCTCGGGGCCGAAAACCAACTCAAAGGAAAAATGAGAGAGGGGCTTGCCAAGGTCCAGCCGCCAAGTCCGCGCGAGGACAATCTTCAGGATGTAGGGCGGGCGTAGATCCAAGGCGCTGGAGCTTGCGCTCCGCTACCATGTAGCGGGAGCGCAGCGGTAGCGAAAACAAAGGGCTCGAAGAAACCACGTCGATCGAAAGGCAGCCGGTGCCTATGGCTCTCTTTTCTAAGACCGCTGAGGTCTGGCTTCAAAAAGGGGCCCCTGAGCATGAACAGCCACGGTGGAAAAGTGGCATCTTTACATGGAAGCTCGATGCACGTGTTGCAGACTCCCAACACAACCCCCCAACACAATCCCTTCTCATTTCATGTTCGCACATGCTTTGGACGAGGAAAATCACACGCGTCGCGTCGCTTCGCTTCGCTGGCTTCGTCAGAGTCTCGCCTTCTCAAGGATCCGCCGCTGCACTGCGGGTGAGTTTTTCTGCTTAAAGTGTGCAACACGATGCTGCCGCAACAATGCCTCCGGGCCTCAGACTTTGGAAGCAAAATAAGGGAGGCCATCGCTATTGATATATGTTGTTGTCTTTCTTGTATGTGTTGATTGTCTTTTTTGTCAAACAACTTCAGACTCTTCGTTGCCACATAGCGGGATCTAGGGACCTAGGCCCATCTCGCTGTGCAGGTCCTGGCTGGATCTCAAACGATCACGATGCACTGCACCCGCTTTGCACTGCTTTCGGTTCAACTGATCTCGGTTTGGCACTTGTCTTTCTTCTCTTTGTGCTTTCTTTCTTTGCTTTGGACCTCTATTATTCGTTGTCTTTTCCTTTTGACCTTTAGCATTCTCTACTGTTTTTTATTTCTTTCATTCAAGACTGGATCAAAGAATCTCCTGTTGGCCCACCAGTACTGTCTCTAAGGGATCGTAAGGAAGACCTCGTGGATTCACCTCGTCAATCTCTCAAAGTCTGCCGTGGCTTTGTATTGCTTTCATGTATTAACCCTCTGGAGAGGCCATCCCTAGAAGGTTGGAGGCCATTGCTATTAGTAACTCAGAAGAAGATTGTATTGCTTTCATTGGATTTCAAATCTCCGCCTCTGGTTCATCTTCGATCTCCACGGGGACATCAACAAAGTCTCCACTCCTTAGCAAATATGAATGCTTATTCAGGCCTGGATAAGGGGGCATTTCTGGGAAAAGACAAATCAACCTCTCAATGTCTCCTGTGTTTTCCAACTTCAGTCTGTTTCTGTGTTCAACTGTCCAACGTGTTTCTTTGCCTGCCCCTTGCGGTTGGGACAAGAAGCCTTTCCAACACAAGGTGTCCGCTTTCGAAGGTCTTAGGGTTAGGCAATTTGCATCGCTACTAGTAACAAGGTGCATCGCTATATGGAACAAGGACGCTACTAGGGCTCCTGGCCTTACTACTAGGAGCAAGGACGCTACTAGGAGCAAAGGGCATCGCTACTAGGAGCAAGAAGCTGTTAGTAAGTACTTCGACTTCCATAAGAACCCTTTGCTGCTGAACCGCAGTTCGCGGTCTCATGGGTCTTGAATGTCCAACCTAATAGTAATGCCCTTGTTACTAGTAGCGATGCCCCTGTTGCTAGTAGCTTCTAGCCCTATTAGACCCTTCTTCCTTGTCCTTTTTCTTTGATTCTAATAGCGATGGCCTCCGGCCTCCACCCTAATAGTGATGGCCTTCACCCTAGTAGCGATCCAAGCCATGTCTTTTAATTGAACAATGGATGCCTTGAACTTTGAACTTATACCCGTGCTGTACCTCCAAGCGATCTGCAACGCGCTCCTTTGAACTCGCATGTGGCACAGTCGCAACCATGCAGGATCCCATTTGGGGTGCTGAAAGCACCAAGAACGAACAGACCTGGAGGCTATCGGCTGCTATCGGCTATCGGCTACTGCTACCTTCCAGAAGCACAGTGGGCTCCTTCAAGACACTTTCCAGCAATCCTTAGCACACTCGCTGACATCCCAATGATTTTGTGTTCAAGGTCCCCTTGTTTCCTGTTCGCAACATGACCTCTCGTTTTCTCGACCTCATCCCGTTGATCTGTTCGCATCCTTTCGTTCCTGGTCTTCTCAGTCTGGGTGAGTCTTTTGCCAAGCGGCCACTCACAGCTCGTTGCCTCAGACTCTCAAATCTTCCACAGCCAGGAGTAAATGAATGAAAGAATGAATGAATGAGTGAGTGAGTGAGTGAATGAATGAAGATCATTTTAAATGGATTGGCCATCAAAGGGGCTTCACTTGCTGCCTTGGACATTAAGTCTGAATTGGACTGGATGGGGTAGCCACGGTAGCCGGTTCTAAGTGAGACTTTGAAGATTCGGCGGCTTGGAGGCTCTCTCTGGCAGACTAGATGGCATACAGCGACGCTTGACCATCAAGAGTTGGCGGTTGGGCGCAAGCACGTGCAGAAACGGATGGTGTGTGGCCTGATGTCTCAAGTTGACGTTGGACAAGTTGAGCATTCCGCTTGTTCTCTACCAAAGAAAGGTTGAGGGTACACACGCAAATTGGGGAGAATGCTACCACGACCACTTGCAAGAACCTTGACCAAGGTAACTTTGGCCATAAAAGGTGTTTCTGTTGCAAAGAGGAAGTTCCTTTCGTGGACATTTGCAGCCATAACAGCAACTGCCAAATCAAACCGGTTTGACAGCCCCTTCTTGGTAATGAGGGATTTCGCGTTTGTTCAAAGCCCTGTAGTCACAACGGTAGCAAAACTAAGACTACCTCACACACATGTAAAAATTATAGAAAACACATTGTAGATAGAATCTAAGATACGTCACAGAGACAGAAAGAATCCATCCAGTAAAAGAAATGAAAGAATCCATCCAGGTCCAAACGCAAAAACCGCTCCGCTCCAAGGTGGACTGTTTCAACTCATCGTCCGTTTGAACATCCACAGCCGTGAGACCTGCCAGAAGCCATCGTTCTAGCAGTGAAAATACGTCGACCGGAGATTTGCAAGCAGAAAGCCACCCGCTCACCAAACCAACACAAAAAAGAACCAGAGCAAACGCTGCATGCATTCTCTCATTTCTGGGCAGCCTCTTCTGCTGCCCTCACCTTCTTTTCATTGACTAGCTTTCGCCTCCAATAGCACATCATACCGTTGACCAAATAGAGTGCAGCCATGCACTTTTAGCGGCCTCCTTCAGTCACACATCATCAAGAGTCAGGGATGGCAAGATGTAAGCGCTATTTGTTTGTTTTCAGGCGACTTCTGTGTTGCCCTCCACCCCCAAGGCTTCGTCTGCAGCATTCTTTGAGCTTCCGCCGAAGCGTTTCGTGGAGGAAAAAAGTCACTACTAGTCTCACCTTCTCAGAAGGTATGACTGGCCAAATACCAGTTGTAGCGGTCCACACCCGGTCCGCTCCAAAGCCGCCCATCTGAGCATTGGAAACCCCAAAACCATCTCGGAGAGTAAGTAAAAGGAGTGAACAATGTCCCTTCACCGGCCAATGACAACCTGCCACCTTGTACTGTTGAGGAGGGAGAAAGAAAGATCTAAAGGTCTGAAGAAAAAGAAAAAGAGAAGAAAGAAGTTCATATCAAGTTCTCAGTAAACAAAGAAGTCCCATTCTTGTTGTCAGTTTGTAGAACGTGAGGCCTTTAGTCACTTGGAGAATGGGCAGCCTTTGCATCGTTCTTTTCCAAGCAGCATTGGCCGTCCTTGAGCTCTTGCCCAACCTAGGCACAAACTGTGAATCATTGTTACATATTGTTGCTAGTAGTAAGGTGCCTTGTTACTAGTAGCGCCAACCTAATCCAACCTAGTAGCTTCTTGTTGCTGCTGAGATGCTGTTCTTTCAACGGTTTTTCTTGCGGTTCCATGGGTTTCGCCATTTCAGTGAGTTGGGATTTACAAACCGGTACTACAAAGTGGCCACAGTCAAGTGGGCAGCCGAAGGAAACGTCACAAGTCGTTGCTGACATCTTCTTCATGTTGTTTTTGTCATGCACCTTTGCTCCTAGTAGCTTCTTGCTACTAGTAGTAAGGCCAGGAGCCCCTAATAGCTTCTTTGCTCATAATAGCGATGCCCTTTGCTCCTAGTAGCGTCCTTGCTCTAGTAGCGATGCCCTTTGCCCTTAGTAGCTTCCTGCCCCCCCCCGCGCGCGCGCACGCGCGCGCGCGCGAAAAGGTCCTAGTAGATTCCTTTGCTAATAGTAACAAGTGCCTTACTAGTAGTAACAAGAAGCTATTAATTTAAATTCTACTAGGAAACATTGTTACTACTAGTAAGGCACCTGTTACTACTAGCGATGCCCTTTGCTCCTAGTAGTTTCTTGTTGTTGTCGAAAAGAATTCAACAAGGAGCTCGCAACTCTTGGAGTCCTCGAAGCATGCACAGCTCCTGAACGAGGTGAGGTCATGCGAGATTATGTGGTTTCTTTCCTGTTTATATATTGTTTTAAGCCCGCCCTTAATTGAAGTAAGGCCGACTAGTTTGCTCCTAGCTCTAGGAGGCAGGATAGCTCACGCTTCTTTAAGGGGAGAGCTTCCTTGAAGAAGTGCTCGGCACTAAAAATTTGGTTCCTAGATTTTTTTAGGAAACGGGGGCGGATTGGGTAGATGCTTGACGGAGCAGAACGTTCACTCGAGCTTCCACCCTGTCCTCTCTCGCTGCGATCCTTGCAAGCAGGACGGAGCCTCTTGTTTGGCTTGGCAGGTATTCCTGCAGTGAAGAACATGTGAAGAAATGTGCAGAATTTCGAGCCATCGCTAGTAGGTTGGAGGCCATCGCTAGTAGCGTGGAGGCCATTGCTAGTAGGTTGGACAATAAATACATTCAATCGCTTTCCAGTCTTGGCCAACCCCCGTTAGGGCCTCGTCTTGTTTGCGAAGGTGCAAGGGTCGCAGGACACCTGCTCAGAAAAGCCAGTTCAGATTGCAAGCCACGAGTTTTCCAAAAAGAACACTATTCCTTTGGGGATCAAGAATCAAGCTGATCAATCTGAGTCTTCGTTCTGACATGAGGGTCTGTTTCCCTCAGGTGAAACATGGTCCGTCTCAGACATCAATAGCCTATTCTGCATCCACCAGAATAGCCTTGTTATATGAAATCCAGTACATGCCGGAATCCTCTTGCAGGTGATGTCTGCTGGCTCCACAACAAAGGCGACTCAAGAAGATTGTGAGGCAAAGATGCTGGTAGGTGGTGGCCGCCAGGTAGTGGCTGTAAAGTTGGTTCTTTCTTTTCACAGCTTGTGAGTACAACTCACCCAACAAGCCAATGTAGGTGTTCATGGCCACGAGAGTGATTCCAAGACTGAGAAAAACAAACTGCGTACGGATTCCTTGATGGTATTTGGAGTTGTACTTTTGCTCGTCCATCTCAGCTGAGATGGTATTGTTCTTGATGGTTCCATGGATCTCATCGTCAAGACCTTCCATCTCATTGAGATCAAAGTCTCCTAAGAATTCCAAGCGGAAGATCTTCAGCACTGCATTGAAACTCTCATTCCAACTTCCAACATTCTCTTCGATGGGATACACAGCATAAGCGTGACACGAGGCCATTAATGCCAACAATAAGAAGATCATGTAGAACAAACTTTCCGGTTGTCGCACCGCGTGGATCACCGGCACGATGTTGCGCCCCACGGATTCATATTGAAAGAGCGCCACGATGAAATGAATCCAACGCAGTAGAATTAAGAAAGACAAATAACTGGGATGGTCCGATAACACGCTCTTTTCCACCTCCTCCCGTCGATGGAACATCTCTAACTTATCTGCAAAAAAGAACCAAAGCACCTTTGGGAAGTGCACGTCTCCAGCTGCTCCTGCCTCCTGCTTCGCACGTGCCCAGTCGTTCTTCTGGATGCACCAGACGTACCAAAGGACGACAAAGACCGAAAAGAGTTCCAAGAAAATCTGGAGCAAAGTCCAAAACGCCACGGTCTTCCAAAGTACCACCATGTGGTCTGAGAATTGTGCAAAGTGCCGCGATCTGAAGAAACACAAACTCGTGATAATGCGTGCAAACAAAGAGCCAATCGTCGTGACGGCCAAGATACCTAAGCATAAAACGAGGATGATGGAAGGCACTTTGTCAATGCTCACATCGCGGGCGATCCAGCAAAGCACAAAAATGAAGCCAACGTCCACCAGGATTTCAGCTTGAAAAGAGCAGTTGACCTAAGTGCATCGCTAGTAGTAACAGGTGCCTTACTCGTAGTAACAAGAAGCTACTAGTAACAAGTGCCACGCTACTAGTAACAAGTGCCTGAGCAGTTGACCTTGTTTGCAGCTTGTGACACAATGGCACGTCCCAAAACGGTGGTGAAGGCTCGACTATGGGGCGACAATAAAGTCATCTCCTTGAGCATCATCGCCAGCTCCACATCGGAACAACCTAGAAGCTGAACTGCTGGGGATATGCTGTAATTTGCAGTGAAAGAATTGGTGGCACTGCCTTGAGACATGATCCGCCAGAAAGACGACCAAGAATGCCAAAACCAGTATCTGAAAGTGCCAGTACTTTGTGGAAACTTCTTGCTGCTGACTTTGTTAATGAACCGTTCAGCTTCCACGTCCTGAACTTCGTTTTGGAATCTCTTCGGAATGTCAGTGTGTCAAGAAGTGCATCGCTACTAGTAACAAGTGCATCGCTAGTAGAAACAGGTGCCTTACTAGTAGTAACAAAAAGCTACTAGTAACAAGTGCATCGCTACTAGTAACAGGTGCATCGCTAGTAGTAACAAAAACCGTTCAGCTTCCACGTCCTGAACTTCGTTTTGGAATCTCTTTTGAACAAAAGTGTGTCAAGAACACCTATCTCCTACAGCACTTTTGTCAATTTGACTCACTTGACAACAATCCAAGCAGCAAAACGGTGAAAAAGAACGAAAAAACTACCTCGGACTTGAAAGCACTTTCGAGGGTTTTGTTCGTCTTCTGTCGTTGTTGTTCGGCTCCTGTGGGTCTTTCGCCTCGTGACCAATGACGTCGAATCCACCACGGCCCAACTCGATGCGGGTCCATGGCGTCCAATGGTGTGGAGGGTCTCCCCTGATGCATCCTGTACACGGTCGCTACATCAAGCCGTTGGCACCTTGGTACTAATAGCAAACATTGTTACTACTAGTAAGGCACTTGTTACTACTAGTGTGGCACCTTGTTACTAATAGCTTCTTGTCATCAAAGTGTTCCACCAAAATGCATCCAAATGCTAGAAAGATGCGAAGGTTCCGCGCCTTGATCTGGGGGCAGCTGCTTGGTTAAGCCCAAGGAGTCCAAGCGTTGCTTCACTCGTTCCCATTCCAACTCCAAGCTCAAACTTTCCAAAAAACGTTGCAGCACCGAGCGCTCGGTACCCTCATCCTCTCGGTAGAGGCAAGCGTATTGCCTCGGACACAAATCGGGTTAGTTAGTAGTAACAAGTGCATCGCTAGTAGTAACAAAAAGCTATTAGAATTAAAATTAGTAGCGTCTTTGTTCCTAGTAGCGAGGCCAGGAGCCTCTAGTAGCAACCTTTGCTCCTAGTGAGTTATGCTTGTCGTTTTTCTTTTCTTTCTACCTAAAGACCGGTTCTTCCTGTCTTTCTTTTTTACCTTTAGACCTAGATTTTTGGGGGAACTTAAAAGCATCATGAGTACCCCCTTGCAGTTCCCTTGTGCGCTGAGACATGACAACAAAAAAATAAGAAGAACAAGGCTCGAGAGACAAAAGGGAGAGTGTATTAATGCCAGGCAGGGGCATGTTCTCCTGCTCCCATTGCTGCGAGTGCAAACAAAATGCTTTGAACGAAAAAGGTTCTTGTTTGGGGAAACTGAAAGCAAGATGAACGTATGTTGATCCCCAACGGAATTTGGCTCTGCTTGAGAACCGCCGACACGTGAATTGTGTTAAGCGTTAATATTAACACCAGGAAATGGCTTGCCCACAATGCTGCGCAGCTAGAATTACCATGGCTCTCCATACGCCTCAACTGCTGATCCTACGCCAGCAATGAACTTCGGCTACTGGCCTTGACGTTATTTCTTGCGGAGCAATTGCAAGATGGAATTGCCAACGCTAGTAGGTTGGAGGCCATTGCTAGTAACTTCATTAGTATGGAAGCTTCTGGCGTCCTGGACATCACTTGGAAATTGTGGTGGGTAGCCCCCCCGCCGCTCCCGCTCCCGCACTCGAGTTCCCGGCATCGAAGAAGTCGCCCAAACACTAGTACAAGCAATGGGAAACAAGCTTAGTGGGTGTTTTTCCTGATCCTGATTGCTGTTCTTGCGTCCATTTGAGGTGCCGAGCTGCATGAAAAAGCTGGGAGTAAATCGATTGATGGCAGACACCCATCGGTCGAAATCCATCTTCAAGGCAAATAAGGAAGGCACCTCCTTCAAGGGAAGATCTAATCCAACCATTTTCTCCGAACGGACTAGTTCCATTTCTTGGGCTCAAAAAATCCAATGGGCATGCGGCCACGGTTGTGCTGTTTGAAAAGAAAGAAGTCTGTCTCCTGCAAGCCCAGCTGTTGACAAATGTCCTGCTGCTGCTCGTCCGCTCGTTGCAATCGGCGTAGTTTGTGCGCTACCCCATCAGGCGGACTGCGCTTCACCTCCTCTGCGAAAGAGACCACCTCAAAGAGTTTCGCAAGGAGCCAGAGGTCCTCAAGCGACTTCAGGGAGCGTCCTAGTAGCGATGCCCTTTGTTCCTAGTAGCTTTCTTGTTCCTAGTAGTAAGGCACTTGTTTCAAATAGCTTCTTGCTCCTAGCAGCGTGGCACCTGCTACTAGTAGCGTGGCACTTGTTCCTAGTAGCGTTCTTGTTACTACTAGTAAGGCACTTGTTACTAGAAGCGATGCACTTGTTTCTA